TGGGGATGCTCCCTGCCAGCAAGGTCAGCTCCCCTCCCTCCCAGCTTTGCACATCTGCACTTGTGTGTTTGCAGACAGCGGCCCCAGGTGGAGCTCTCCTTTGAGGAGAGTGAGCGGAGAGCTCTGCTTCTGAAGAGGTGGTCCCTGTACAAGCAGCGGGAGCATGAGATGGAGAGGGACACCATCAGGGCCATGCTGGAGGCCCAGCAGGAAGCTCTGCAGGAGCTGCAGCTGGAGTCCCCAGTGCTCTACACTGAGGCTACTAAGCGGGACCCCAGCCTCTTCCCCTTTGAGACAAAAGGGCCAGATTACACACCACCAGTCTCTAACTATCAGCCCCCTGAAGGCAGGTACAATGACATCACCAAGGTGTATACACAGGTATCATTCAAGAGGTAGAGCTGCAGGCAGCTGTCCTCAGAACACACTGCTCCTGAGAAGCAGAATGACCAGGGTTCAAGACTGCTTTCCACAGAGTCAGGCATGCTGTTAATAAATATATGTAAGCTTAATCAAAATTTTCTCTGTCTTGTGTTAGAATCAAAATTAATTCATAGAGATGAGAGATGCTGCCCCTCTGCCAGGTCAAGGAAGTGAGTGACAAAAACATCAACCACCACGCTCAGTTGGGAGAAATTATGAGTAATTTGTCCACCAGCAGGAAAGACAAAGTAACCCAGAGGAGCAGAAGTGAGGAGACATGCAGGGTTCTGTGAGCTGTGACGTGCAGAGAGAAGCACGCCTTCCTCTGGGACAGAGGAGCTACTTCTGGTTTTTAACCAGGGGGGGGGGTGTGTGTGTGTGTGTGTGTGTGTGGCTGACAAGAGTGGGGAAAGCAAGAGATACACTAGTTGACAGAGCTGCTGTGTCCCCAGCAGAGGATGCCACCTAGCTGGGGCACAGAGCCCTTACCAAAGGGCTTACTCTGGAACGGTCAATGCATTAGTCAGCTCAGCCTGTCAAAACAGTACCACAGACTTAAAAAACAAAATTTATTTCCTCATCATTGTAGAAGCTACAACTCTCAAGATGGAGGTTGTGGCAGGTGTGGTTTCTTCTAAGATCTTCCCTTTGTCTTCACATGGGCATCTCTAAGTCTCTGTCCTAATTTTGTATTAGGGCATGAGGCGTATCGGAGGCTTCACTAAAGATCTTATTTTAACTTAGTTATCTTTTGAGGACCCTACCTTCAACAGCAGTCACATTGTGAGTTCCTGGGGACTAGGACTTCAACATAGAAATTTTGAGGGGACACAGTTCACTACATAATCATTAAGGTCCTTTGTATAATTAGTTGCCATTTTTCCTAGTATCCAAATGTCAGAAAGACTTTGTTTTTTTAGCTACCTTAGTACAGGTAAACCAAGACTATTCACTTGAAGAGGATAGTTTTCTTAGTATGTGATTCCTTTTTCCCTATTTAAAAATTGTGGCAAAATATGCCTAAAATTTTACATCTTAACCATTTCTAACTGTTCAGTATATACATATTGTTGTATAATTATCACCGTCTCTGTATCTGTATCTCCAAAACTCTTCACTGCAAAACTGAAACCTTGTACCCATTAAATAACTCCCTACTTCCCTCTCCCTGAGTCACTGGCACCCCCTTGTACTTCCTGTCTCTGATTCTGACTCCCCTTAAGCATCACATGTGAGTGCGATCATGCAATGTTTATTTTTTTGTGACTGGTTTATTCCGGTGAGCATAACATCCTCAAGGTTCATCAATGTTGTAGCTTGTGTCAGAATTTCCTTTTTAAGGCTGATGTGATCTCCCATTATATGGATTTACCATACTTTGCTTATCCATTCATTTACCAGTGGATACTTAGGTTGCTTCTGCATCTTAGCTACTGTGAATAAATGCTGCTACGAATGAAGGTGTAAATATATCTTTTTGAGACTCTGCTTTGTTTTGGGTATATACCTGAAAGCGGAATTGCTGGATCATATAGTGATTCTATTTTTAGTTTTTGGAGGAACTGCCATATTTTCCACAACAGCTGTACCATTGTATTCCTACCACCAGTGCACAAGTGTTGTAATTCATATCTTCGCCCACACTTGCTGCTTCCTGCAGTTTTTTGATAGTAGCCATCCTAATGAGTATGAGGTGGGTGGGGTCTATGGTGGTTTTGAGTTTCATTTTGCTGATGATCACTGATGATGAGCATCTTTTCATGTGCTTGTTGGCCGGCCATACATGTATCTTTTTTGGAGAAGCATTTATTTAAGTTCTTTGTCCCTTTTTGAACCATGTGTCCCCCTCCTCAGTTTTAGTTCTCTGTCTGTTCTGTGATCCCTCATCAGGTACATAGTTTGCAAACATTTTCTCCTATCCCATGAGGTTGCTTTTTGATTCTGTTGATAGTGTCTTTTGGCATGAAACTGTCTACATTTTAAATTTTCATAAAGTCTAAATTGTGTTTTTTCTTTTAACATCAGTGACTTTGGTGCTGTATTCAAGAAATTACTGCTGAATCCAATGTTGGAAAGCTTTTCCCCTGTGTTTTATTCTAAGAGTTTTGTGTCTTATATTTAAATCTTTAATCCATTTTGAGTTAATTTTTGTATGTGACATCTGTTCAGCTTCATTGTTTTGCATGCAGATATCCAGGTTTGGGAGTATCAATCATTTATTGAAAGACTATCCTCATGAATTATTTTTGGCCTCTATGTCAAAATGTGACCATATATGCAGGGATTTATTTCTGGGCTCTCCACTCTATTCTCTGGGGTTCACTTTCATTTGTTTTTAGTGTTAGGGTCTCTGTCACCCAGGTTTGGGTGCAACGGCACAATAAGCTCACTGCAGCCTCAAGCTCCTGGGCTCAAGTGATCCTCCTGCCTCAGCCTCCCCAGTTGCTGGGTTTGACTACAGGTGCGAGCCACCACACCCAGCTCAGTTCATGATAAAACTATTGCCTATGGATTCTAATCCCTTGGCTCTACTTAAGACAAATGCTGAATCCCAAGTATTTTCTACAACCACAGTGCTACCTGATGTCCAGGCCATCCTCACCTTTTGCCTTTTCTGCTTCAGTAGCCAACTGATGTGTTTACACTGGGCATGGCCATCCTAGCCCTTTCATGGTGCAGCAGCCAGAGAGAAGTCTCTTAGAATGCAAGTCAGATAATCACCCTGAGAATTAGACTCAGATCCCTGATCATAGCTTCTAGCACCCCTGGTCATCAGCCTGCAGGGTTGATTCCCTCAGCCTGTGTGTGCCCCTTTCTCTGCCTCCCAGGACTCAAGCCTTCTCGTCCAGGTCTGGGCTCAGATATTGAGGCCTTGCCCACTTCCCTGCCAAAGGCAGGTGCCTAGCACAGGTGTATGATAGCAGTGCTTCTTAAAGCAGGAGGCATGTCATCCAGGAGGTCACATCATCAATTCAATGGGTTGGGGCCATTAGTTTTTTTAAACTTTATTTTCAAGTAATTACAGATTCATAGGAGGATGCACAGCAGCTTGTCCAGAGAGGTCCTACATGCCCCAGGACCTGCCCCAGTGCCAACACAATACACTCCACAGTACATTTTACAGGGTATATTCCGTTTCCCTGGTCACATCTGCACTTGTTTATGCATCTAGCTCTATACAGTGTAAATCATGTGTGTATCCTTATGAACCTACCAGTTAGGTTCTCTAGTTTGTTTTCAACACCACAAGACTGCCTTGTGTGACCACCTTCCCATCCCAGGCCCCTGGCAACCATTAATCTGTTTTCCATTCACTAACACTGCATTAAGGTAATCATGCTACATGTATCCTTTTTAAGACTGGCTTTGTAAATTCAGCACAGTTTCCTGGAGTTTCCTCCCAGTTGCCTTGTAACAGTTTATTGGAAATGACAGTGTATCACATAGAAAGTGTTGTTTGGTGAAGCTTCTTTTAGTGATAATATGCCTCATCATAGTATGTACCAGATTATAGTGTAAAGCGTTTGTTATTATGGGGATTTGTCCAAAAAGTTTGAAAAACATTGTTCTTACAACTGTATTCATTTTCTTCATAACACTTACCATTTTAGATTCATATGTGTTAATGTTTAATTTCTGTGTCTTTCCCTCAAATTTTAATACAACAGAAATTCTTTGAAGGCACCTTGTCTGTTTTAAAATGCGATCCAAGACTCCAAACCCTGTCTAGCATATGGCAGGCACTCTGATATGAAGGAACGAGCACGGGAAGGAATCAGGAACATCCTGTTCCATCGTCTATCAGCATGGAGCTAGTTCAGTAGCAAAGGCAGCAGGCAAAGTACAACAGGGGCACTGCAGGAGGACCTGAATGTTCAGATAGAATAAAAAAGAAAGCCTAACAGAGCACACAGTGAGCAGATGACACGGAGCACAGCTGCATACAGGGAATGCCAAGGACTTAGATGGCAGCTGGTTACCCAGCTGGCCCTGCCCTCCCCGGCTCCACCCTGGGAACCCAGAAACAGCTACTGCAACCCCAGGCATCGCATGCAGACTGCAAATTCAGATGCCCCTTTCCTGTGTTTAAAAGTGAGAACACTGTAGATCTCTAGCAGACTCCCTCTTTCCCAACTGGCCAGAATGTTCATTATTAAACTAGCCACAGCCAGGCTGGAGACACAATGGTCAGCTTAGCTATGTAAAGCTTCCCCCAGGGATGGGGGAACCCTGGCTCCTCTTTAGACTCTACTGAGCTAGATCCTGTGAGCACCCCACCCCATTCACAGGTACACATGCAGACACAGCAGGGGCTCTTGGGGAAAACAAAAGAGACACGTAAGAAGGGAAATATTCTTTAATGTGTGCTCTTTTAAAGTGATTATTTTACCCCAAAGGATGAATTTTTTTTTTTTGAGACAGTCTCACTATGTCACCCTGGATAGAGTGCTGTGGCATCACAGCTCACAGCAACCTCAAACACTTGGACTTAAGCGATTCTCTTGCCTCAGCCTCCCAAGAAGCTGAGACTAGTAGGTGCCCGCCACAATGCCTGGCTATTTTTTGGTTGTAGTTATTGTTGTTTGGCGGGCCCGGGCTGAATTCATACCCGCCAGCTCTGGTGTATATGGCTGGCGCCCTAGCCACTGAGTTACAGGGGCCAAGCCCAGAGAATGAATTACTAATAAAAGATGTTTGACATACTGCCTGAGCAAGAAGGGTTGCTGGCCTTAGCCAGGCTAGCCTGGAGCATCTCACAGTAGGACTGCAGCAACAGGACCCAAACCATTTTATCAGTAACAAGGAGACCTCTGTAAGAACGAGTCTTTTTGATGGTTCATGTACATGTAACATTTTTAAAACATGTACAAGAGAATAGGCATACAAAATTCCAGTACTGCCCAACATAACACTGTTAGATGTGAAATCTAACAAAAGTGTTACTTTATTTTCAGCTTCTAATTGGAATCAAACATGTGAAATGGCTTTGACATATTAACAATCAGGGAAAATTCTGAGGAAAGAGTCCTAGATGTCTTAAGATTCCACAAATCCCTTTTGTGTGAAGTTCTGCATGTCTTTTCCTTTTTCCTGTGTGTGAGAGTGCATTTCCCACGTGGGAGCCTTGCAGGTGAAGAGCGTTAGTGCAGGAGCCCTGGCTGCTTGCCTGCATCTGCAGTGGGATGGGCAAGTAGGACGGAGCAGAGCGTGACCTCCACGCCTTGGAATCTGAGGGCCACAGCACACAGAGGTCAGCAACCCCAGGAGGAGGAAAGGTATCCATAGCACACATCTATTTAGCTATCTCATTCTGACACACCCATGTGTCCACACAGGTCAGGGCTCCCCTTCCAGGGTCTGAGGATCCTGGACCTCAGGACTGCCACCTCCTGGTACTGCCATGCCCAGCCTGACTGCTGCTTAGATATGCCTGCCAAAATGTGTGGCTCCCTGGAAGCTCTGGAGTGGCCACAGTTGTTTTCCAGAGCACCAGTGTCAGGACACCCTGCATGCAGTGAAGGTGGGCAAGCAGGGCTGGCAATGTCTTGCTGCATGTTGCAAGCCAGGGGAGAGCTCGCAGGGACCTAGTAGGCCATTTGGTCGCATTATCGTCCTCAGGACTGCAACAGCTCCTGAAAAAGACCTAAGGAAGCTGCACAGGGCAGGGCTGTTTCTTGTTCATTCGTCCTTCTCCTGTGGCAGAGGGAGGTGCCAGTCTTCAGGGGGGCGCTCCCTCAGGGCCCACACCAGGGTGTGCTTCTGAGCAGCCTGGACTCGTGCCCGCTCACTCTCACAGAGGGATTGCTGTGCAGATGAGATTCTGGTCACTTTCCATCTCAGGGCTGGCGCCAGAGCCCCTCACCACCCTCCCAAAATATCAAGGACGGACAGGCCCATATGTGCATCACTGCAGCTCAGCAGTTGCCACCCAGCATGAGTGTATTTTGGCGACTATTCCACATTACACATAGAGATCTGGATCATTCTTTCTCACAAGCTACTGTGAAAAACTAGTGTATTAATAGATCATCATAATTTGAGGGACTTTAAAATATCTTCCCCTGGGCCTCAGGGCTTGATGGCTTTGGTTGACCCACTCAGTCTGGGGCAGGTTCACCTGCTGGGACTAAAGGTGGGGCGCTGAGAGAGGAGAGAACAGGAATCTCAAAAAGCAGCTGAGGAGCTGCAGAGAGGAACATGGTTGGAAGGGAAGAAGATGGGGAAAGAAACATGTCCAAGTGCCATGGAAAGCTGGGTGGAGTCCAGAAGACAGACTACCAACATGGCCGTGCACAAGTTCCCCTCAACCTGCCAGCTTTCTGTGTCACTGTCCACTAAAACACAAGGCATTGTGTCCCAACAGGTGACTATCCCTGTGGGCCTTTGTGGGTGGGAGGTGCTGTGCAGGCCTTTTTACACATCCAATTTCATCTGTCTACTTGTCTATCCTTGTTCAAGCTCTATTGTTTCAAAAGATTTTAGTCATGTTTACAGAGTTATCAGAAATGCAGAGTGGAATATGGAAAACTCCCAAACCTCCATCCCCAGTGTGGCAATTAACATCTTCCCTGACAACATTTTAGGCTCAAATTTTAGAGCCATTATATGTTTCACTAAAGCTGGAACCATTTTCTGCTGGCTAGTCTGCTTCCTGCTGTTTTCACTAAACAATATGCTGTAGGCACATTCCACCTTTCCATTCTCCTGCAGGTTACCATCTATTCTTTTTAGTGGCTATGTAGTAGTCTACTGTGTCAAAAAGCTGTTTGGTCAAATGTCTATTATGGAAATTTAGGTTGCTTTCAGTTTATGCACTAACATAAACAAAATGAACATCTTGAACTTTTAACTGGGCACTGTTTATCCCGTTATTTCCCTAAGATAAACTTCCAGAAGTATAACTCGGGAGGTAGGTATTTGACATTTACAATACCTGACACTCCCACTAACACTACGCAAGTCCCCTTATTCTCCAAACCCCTATCAAGACTTCTCATTTTCTGCTGGGCAAAAAGTACTCTTACTTTCATTTTAACTTATACACCTGGTCTTTGGGTTTTCTTTAATGAATTGCTTCTCTGTGCCTGCTGCCTATTTTTCTACATGGAAACCATTCCCACTTTTCTTACAGCTATATAGGAGCTCTTTAAATAGGTGATTGATCTCTGGCCACAGAGGCTGCAAGCTTTCTCTCTCTTATTTTATTTTATTTATTTAATCATTTATTTAGAGACAGAGTTTTACTTTGTCGCCCTTAGAGTGCTGTGGTGTCACAGCTCACAGCAACCTCCAACTCCTGGGCTTAGGCGATTCTCTTGCCTCAGCCTCCCCAGTAGGTGGACTGCAGGCGCCCACCACAACTCCTTGCTTTTTTTTGTTGTTGTTGCAGTTTGGCCGGGAGGCCGGGTTTGAACCCACCATCCTCGGTATATGGGGTCAGCGCCCTACTCACTGAGCCACAGGCACCGCCCCCTCTTTTTTTTTTAAACTGTTACTTCTGTCATGATTTTCTTTTATACAGCAGTTTGGTTTCCACATCACTCTGTGCGTTTCAGAATCACTGCGTTCATTAGCAATGGGGCAGCCTCGGCCAGTCTTTTTGGCTGCCCGTCCCTGGCATTCCCTGTGAGTGCTGCACCTTCAGGCCGGCTTCTCCCCAGCTCCTGTCCCTCAATGGCTCTAAGGCAAGCACTGTACTCAAGAGAGTGGGTGCTAGGAGGGCAGCGGCTCTGTTCTCATTACTTGTGTATCCCCAAAAGTACCCAACGTGATAAATGCCCGTGAATGAACAAGTAGAACCACCTCCCTCCTTCCTGGTCTCTCTGCCCCCTATAAAATACGCTCCACACCCTAACAAACAGACTCATCTTTTCAAGACATCTATCAATTTTGCTCCCCAGTACACTTTTAGGCTATACTCTAAACTTTATATCAAGGCCCGCCAGGTCCCTAAATGCCTCTCCAACCTCATGCCCTAACCCTCTACAGCCCAGGCACCTGTCAGCCCTCCTCCCTCTCCAACCACCCCACATCCTCTCCTCGCTGCTTCGTTGCCCTTAGCAGCGTCTGAAAATCCTGCAGACAATTACGCTATTTCTCAAAAGAAAGGAAGCACAAGGAGAAGAGGGACCCCGGCAGCCCCCGTCCGCACAGTCGGGGACGTGGGCTGCGGGCGCGGGAACCCGCGGGCCCCGCTTCCCTCCCAGCGCACCTGGGCCTCGGGGCTCCGGCGCTCCTCCCAGTCGCGGCAGCTGGCCAGGTCGCGCCACCACTGTTCGCAGCGCGGCCGCTCGCCGTGGACGTAGTAGTGGTGCAGGAAGTGCCTGGCGCTGCGGCAGAGCTTCCACTCGGCGCGGTAGGCCTCGCAGGACCGCGGCGGCTGCAGCGAGAGACGGTGCCTCAGAGGGGCCGAGCGGCCGCACCCTACGCTCCAGCCCCGTCCTGCACCCTCTCCCCGGGAGGGCCCAGCTAATTCGGCCGCTTGGTCCGACCCGACTCCTTTGAGTTCCCGGCGCTGAGCATACTCACCTGCCAACCTTGCCTGTCAGCCATGTCTAGGCCACCCGACCGCGAAACCCGCCCCCTCAGCCCTCCAGCCAATGAGGACTCAAGAAAGGGCACTGCGTGATTGACGGACAGAAGAACTAATGAACTGAGATACACAACTCCTCGCGCGCGCCGCCCCCCGTTTGAGAAGCGCCAATGAGCGTGACGTCGGGGCCGGCGAGCCAACAGCAGCTAGAATGCTGCCTGGCACCAAGCGCGCATGGTTACCTACAGCGGCTGCGGTCCCCCCGGGCGGCGGGCGTCCTGGGCCGCAGCCTTATTAACCATCTGTCTCGAAAACCACACGACTCCGACCAGTTCAACAGCTTACACTGAGCAGCAACTCCGTACCCTGAACTTGGCAGGGCTGCGACCTTATAGGTCTCGCCTGAGTGTGTCCACGCAGGGCCGAGGTGAACTCACAGCGTAATCCGGGCTGGTTGGGCTTGACTTGTGTATTAGGGACACGAGCGGCCTAGGGCGGGGGATGACCTCCCCGAGGAACCCGGGCTTGCAGTGGAGGCTGAGAAAGCGCGTTCCCAGCACAACCGCAGATCGGTCAAAAGCATAGAGGCACTCCACGCGGTGTGTGTGTGTGTGCACGTGTGCGCGAGCGGGCACGCGTGTCTGGTAAGCCTCTATTCTGTGGCTGTGGGAAACATGGAACCTTTATAAGCAGGAGAGATGTGCAACAGGGAATCTAAGGGCAGGCTGCTAGGTCTACAGAAATGTAAAATGCCTGGCCATACCTACATAGTGGTCTCCAACTTCTCTGAATGGAATTATCTGCTGGGGAGTCTCTTACAATGCACTTGCTGCCAGGAATGACGCTGGGTCAGAAAGCTGCAGTTTTACCAGGGGTCCTGCTGTTGTGGCTGGCTCAACCTAAGACACTGAGAGGAAGACGACAGGCCTGGGTGCAGCAGGAATGACCAGGACCATTGCTTCAGCTGACCCCACCCCCACTGTGTCATCAGAAGGTTTAACAGTGGAGTCCATCCTGGCCTATGCAGGGGAGTGTGCCTCCAGCAAAAGACCAGGAGTTTGCCTAGGGAGACAAAAGCCCAAGACCAACACCTAGTGTAACATTCTTCATTATGTATTCAATGACAACTTGTTAACCAATGTGGTCCTACAGCTGGAGGCTGTCCACCTCTGCTGACAGTCAACACAGTGCTCAGCCTTCCAAAACCATGTGGGTTGCCAGTGACGATGGTTTGTGCCACTGGTTCAGCCTTCAACATCATGATTCTCAGCACTCTTCACTGGGGACATGTTGGCAAACCCTGGAACCATCAACCTGCAGAAGGCATCCTCATGTCTCCTGTTGGGAGAAGCCCTGATAAGAGAGCCCTCCGTCTATAAGCAGGGTGTGCTTGTTTCTGCCCATGTGCTCCAGGAGATGCCAGAGAGAAGCTGTACTCTAATGGCAAGATGGGGTGAGGATACCTGCAAGATGGCGGTCTCCTTCCGATTCCTGGTCAGTGGCCCAACCTCCAATCCATGTTACCACCTAATCAAACATTTAGAGGCAATCCATGTTTTAGTCCTTGCCTGTTTTTATTTGAAATTCTTGATTTAGAATTATTTGCAAGGAACAAATTTAAAATAATTGGATTAGCATGTCAAAAGATCTCACATTATAGAAAGTGAAGATCTGAAATCAAATTGGTATTAATCGAAAACGAAAGGCCAGCAGAACCTAGGATGATCAATAAATTAAAATTAAGAGTGGGAGTATGGCAGAAGTTGAAAGAACGTATCGTTAGCATTTATTCATTCTAACTTTTAACACTGTGTTTCTCCATGGGGTTGTTTTCCTATAGAACAGGTTCAGAGGGAGTCAGTTATTTCTGTATGAAATAAAAATAAAAGTGCAACCTCATTCAGATCAGGTTCTTCTGAGTGGTGGTGCTATTGAAAAATTATGTATGGAGCTGGAGAATGTTCTTCTGAGCAAAGTATCACAAGAATGGAGGAAAAAATATCCAATGTACACACCCCTATTATGAAACTAATTTAAACCTTTTTATATGAAAGCTATAACCAAATAGCCTAAGAATATGGGGAGGGGGGAGAGAGAAGGGAGGGGGGAATGGGTGGAGGGAGGGGGTTTGGAGGGATTACTTCTGAGGTTTACCTTATAGGGGTACAGGTGAATCTTTCTAAGAGTAGAATGAGAACGGTTTAAAGCAATAACTGAGAAAATGACATGAAGGCTGTGTTGACCAGTTGATGGAAGTATTTCAGATTGCATGTGAAAACCCCACACTGTACCCCAGAAGTGCATTAATGTACATAGTTACCATTCAATTAAAAAAAAAAAAAAAAGAAACAGGATGTAAAAGAAAGAGAGCAATGGACAGGATATAGGAGAAAAAGGTTAGAAGCAGGAAAAGATGTATTGGCTTGGGCTTTGGAACACCCAGGTAGAGACTGTTTAAGCAGTTTTTTAGTGTCTTGGTGGGCAGGTGGGAGGAGGTGTCAAGAAGTTCAACACACATAAAAGGAGAAAAATAAAATATTAGCTGAAGAGGGAAGCAATATTGAAAAATATTTTCTAGGAAAGGAATGCATTGAGCACATTTACAGACACAAAGGAATAAATCAATAGAAAGAAAAAAATTGAAGATGGAGCAAGGAAAGGCAGAGGAAAGAGCAGGGTGGGCAGTTCTCTAAAAAAAAAAAAATAAAAAAAAATAAAAAAAAGAAAAATTATGTAAACTAAAAATAGAAACACACTTTCTCAAATACTTAAATTGCAGCCTAAGTAGTGGGACAGCCGCTATTTACAGAGTACATATCTACTTTAACCAAACAACTCTATTGACCTGGGAAGAGAAGGGCTAAGGGAAGACAGACTAACTACCTCAAGGCAGACAGGCAGTGCCCTCCGCGGATTTTGTTAGGAGTTAGGGGACTCTGCTCCCTGAGGCAGTGGGAGCCCCCTCCAGCTGAAAGTGTGAAGTGGCAAGGAGGTGGCTGCCTGCAGGACCTCAGAGCAGCTCTTTATCTTTCCCCATAGCAGGCACAAACTCGGAAATCCTGCTGCTCCACTTCCAAGTGAAACCTGGTAATTCCTGGGTAACTAAACCAGCCTGAAGTAACAGGGCATTCTCTGACAGGAGTCTCACCCCTTCAGAGCCAGTAACTAAGTCAGTATGCTGTAATTGATTCTTTTATTTGCTAATCAGCCAACAGTTCCAACTTAGGGTTTTCTTCCCTTTTTTCGCAATGACTGTCCTTCTCCAGAGAAAGCCACGAATCTGCCTCCAGCTTCATCCTAGATATGAGAAGAAAATATTATTTTCAAAGACTGCCTAAAGGTTAAAAATGAGTGCCTAATTATTCTGTGGACTCATTTTTAGGCACTGGCTTTTTGTGAAGCCTGGACATGGCTTGAAGGAGGAACTGAGGTTTGATTGGAGACCATGTTTGCTCTGGAGCCTGCAAAGTTCCCAATACCGTGAATTTGAGGAACACAGAGGCCAAGAGTGTCTGTGAGGTGGCTGGAATGTGTAAAAAGCACAGTAGTCTCTGTCCTCAACCCCCTCAAGGGCTAGAGGGGAAGAGTTCAGTAGTCAGTAGGGACTGGTGATGGGTCCTGCAACCGGTCTGGAACAGGCTCATGACACATTTGCCTTCTGTCTGACTCCTGAATCTCCAAAGGTCCACTCTTTGAGAAAAGGAACCAGGAAAGCAATGGACCTGAAGTGTTGATGTTCTAGAAATCCATACCATATACAGATGACTGCATTCTAGCCAATGCTGGGCCTAGCCATGTGGCCACCGTGCCCATGTCTGCAGGATACTCAGTCCCCACCATCTTCTCCTGCAAACATCCCACTTGGTGTCCAGAGATTGGAAGCTCAGGTCTCTGTTAGAATGTGAGGCCCACCCAGGGCATGAAGTTTTCTGATGCCGGAGACTGGAGTTGGCCCTGCCCAGGACAGGCTGCCTGCCTCCCATGCTGCAAGGCCTTGACATCCACACCAGCTTTGCAGAGAAAGCAGGTGAGCAGAGAAGAGAGGCACTCCAGGAAAGGGGAAAACATGACAGGAAGACCCCTACCCAGAATGGTAAGAACCAGTCATCACTTGCAAATAAAACTTCTCATTACTAATGAAATACACTCACCTCTTCAACCTTTTTGACCAGTGGACGTGAATTTCTGATGAAAGTGATCTTACCAAGTTTAAATTCATAATTGGGAATTCCTCTGTAAAGGACACAGACAAGGAGGAGTGTTAGTTCCAGGAAGTAAAACAGGAAAAATTCATTTTGCCACAACCAAGAGGACAGTGAACAGAACAGATGCTACTGCACTGAGCCAGGCTTGTGGCCAGCCCTCTGGAGCACCCAAACACCCGCCTTAGGGAGGTGGAGGCTGGTTTCCTGGTTTGGCATAAACACTGGGTGTAGGGAGGGGCTGCAGACTCTGGACCCTCCTGTGGCGAAGGGCCATCTGACGGCTTGGGAGGTCCTCACTGTCTCTTACAGAGCCTTACAGATCCTCCTGAACAGGCTACACTCACTTTGCTCCTTAACAGAATGGGTAAACTCCATCTCCAGCATCCCCCTCCTGCTTACACATATGCAGTAGGCAGCTGACACACCCCATCCCTGCCCCTGCTGTGATCTGCTCTGAAAGTCCCAGGACCCAACAGGCAGCTACTGCCTCCTCTTCTTAGTGGACTAATGTGGAGATAATGTGACCTGATTGATTATTAAAAAATTACAAAACAGGCAGGTCACCAAAGAGGAACTAGAAAGATTTTGAGTGAGAGATCTGGTCAGGTGCATATCTTAGGAAAGCCACCAGGAGGCCGGAGGAGGCTGGCTCTCTGTGGTCCCGGGCAGGCAGAGTGGAAGCAGAGACATGTGTGTTCCAGCCTACCACAGAGAGCAGGTAGGGGTTTTAGCTCCCCCAGTAACTACAGACCCAGGCTTTGTCTCTGGAGTTGGAGTGAGGCTGCCCTACTTCAGGGGCTGGTAGAGATCCTCCCTGGATGACAAGGCTTTTGCCAGGATGGACCTACCTTTTAATATCTCCAGGCTTGATGGGAGAGGGGCTGGGCTCTACCCCTTTCTTCTTTCCATCTAGTCTATTTCCAGAGCCAGAGAATGCCTAGATGGGCAAACAGGAGAGTTGCACCATTAGCCCTGAGGACAAGCATATACGCACTTTACTCAGAGGTCCCTGCAGTGCTGCCCAGACCCCTTCAAGACTGAAGCCCTCACTCCCCCACTGCTAGAGCGCTGGCAGCTAAGAGCTCTCTGCCCAGCCCCTTAGGGGACTGCCCTGAGCTGAAGACAACCACTTGGCCCAAGGGCTGCCGACAGCTAGTGTTGAGTTGACAGGTCTGACCCCAGCCTCTGCAGCACCACCCAGCTCAAGTCCCTGTGAGTGGGTGAAGGCCTCGGATGTCCATCCCACAGCTCAGCTTCCTGTCTGCTTGGTCCTGACCCTCTACTGCCTCCTGGCACCCCAGTGCCCATACATGAGCTACCTCCACTAGTTTCCTAGGGTCCCTGGGCAGCAGCTGGGCTAAGGGTCATGTTTACAGCTTACAAACAGTACAGACATAGAAAAAAAGGAGAATGTTTTAAGATAAACCAAATGTATGAACTCAAGGGAAGGGTATCTGTATATCTATTGTGCTACTGAAATTCTTTGGTAGGTTAGAAATTTTTGAAAATAAATAAATGGTTGGGGCTGTTGGGAAAGGATAAAGTGGATACAAAAGAGTTTGGTAACTGAAGTACCTGGGGCTCAGCCCTCTGATGCCCACAGAATGTGACCAAGAACACCTTGAAGAGGACACCCTGGTCCCAAGGATCAGAGGGCAAAGTCAGAGCACAGAAAGTCAGCTGAGCAGCCCGGTACTCACGCGGAAGCCCAGCTCTCCAGCATAGCCACTGTGGTCAGCTTCACCTTCCTGAAAGGGAGACAGAAAAGCAGGGGGTGAGCTTCCTCCTTAAGCCTCTTGTTCCCCTGTTCCGTAGCTGCTCCCATTTCCCACAGCTAGGCTGGCCCCCAGGAGCAGAACTGGAAGGGAAGCAGAGGCCACCCACAAGCTGTGGGAAGCAAAGAGCAGCTCCGTCACAGGACTGGTGTGGAGACGCCACTTACTGTTGACTCCTCGTGCGGGGCTTGTCTCTCGGGTTCCTTGTAGCCCAAGGGAGCGTCAAAATCCACCTGTGTTTCCAAGATGGAAAGTACAATTTTGTTTTTGTTTTTTGAATCTTGCTTTCGATTTCAACTGGCTTTCACTCATCTTAGTTTGAAGTTTTGTTTTTATAATTTTTTTTCTTCCTTTAGTGATTTCTTGCCTTTTACCTCCCAAGTAACTGGGACTACAGGCACCCACCACAACGCCTGGCTTTTTTTGGGGGGGTAGAGATGGGGTCTCACTCTGGCTCTCTCACTCTTGAACCTCTGAGCTCAGGCAATCCACCTGCCTCAGCCTCCCACAGCGCTAGGACTACAGGCATGAGCCGCCATACCCAGCTAGAAAGTACAATTTTTGGACTTGGCCACACTGGCCTTATGTGTGAGACGACTGCAGACTCACACACGCTGCAGTGAGGAGTGACAGCAAACCGTGCCTTGTGCAGTGCTCAAGTGTTATGCAATGACAACATTTTATGAAATCACAGCAGCACAATGCTGTATAACCCACTGCTCCAGTCCCCTGGCCCACATGTCCTCATCTGTTTAGTTCTATCCAACTTCAACACGGTGTAGGACTGTGCATCTGCCACAGTTTAGACAGTTCCAGCACCACAGGGGTCCCATGTTGTCCTTTATAACAACATCCAGCTGCCTCCCAGCCTCTTCCACCAGCCCTAAGCCCTGGCAGGCACTGATCGGCCTGCATTTCTAGCGTTTTGTCACTGAGGACGTCACATGACAGGGTGACTTCGTGACACTGGCTTCGTTGCCCAGCACCATTCTCTCACTGTACATAGTTTGTTCTTACTCAGGAGGCCCGGGAGGCTTCCTCAGCTCACAACTGTTCACTCCTCAGCAGGGCAGAGCCAAAGATGCATCTAGCCACCTCAGGACTGGCAGCAAAGTGGCCTGAGACAGATCACAAGGTCTGTGGCCTCCTTATGGCATTCAGACTGCATCTCCCTTTTTATCACCCAGTCAGTCCCCAGGGCTGTGACACACACTTGAGGCCCTAGCCTGGAGAGGCCACGACCTGCCCATCCTCCCGAAGCCAGAGCTCACTGTAACGGGACAAAAGAACTCACGTTCATATCACACTCAATGATGGACACAGCCTTGTCAGGTTTGGTCTCCATCACCCGCAGCTCGTAGATCTGCAGGAAGAACACAAATACCAGTGGGGCAACTCTGCACCATGGGGGCTGATGCCCTCAGGTAACTGCGGCTCCACCACCTCCTGCAGACACTCCACTAGCACCCAGGACACGAGCCGTCAGCACCTCACGCTGGGAGGATGACACTGTGAGGGGTGGCCTTCGTGCCCTTCGCTTGACAAAGGCTGTTCCCCACAAGCGGTCAGATTATGTAGTTATGTGTCAGGTTACAAAAGACACTATGACCTTTAAACCAGAAAGTTCACTTCTGGGCATTCATTCTAAATAAATAATTAGCTACATACCCAAGGAGAAAATTCTAGAAATGCTAATTCCAATATTGCTAATGATGCAAATGCTCCTCACCTTATGATGAGGCTATATCCCAACAAATGCATCCTAAGCTGAAAATACTTTAAGTTAAAAATGCTTTCATCACACCTAACCTGCCAAACACCACAGCCTAGTCCACCTGCAATGATCTCAGAACACTGACATTAGCCTGCAGTGGGACAAAACCACCCAGCCCAAAACAGAACCACAGTAAGTTGGGGATTATCTGTACCCAAAATGCCTATCAATAGATTGGTCAAATGAAATACTATGTAGCCAACAGGAAAGAATTTAAAAACCAGATATGATGCTGTGTCTAAGATACCTCATGTCAAATGCACATTAAAAAGTTTAGACATTTTGGGAGGCAAGACACGATTGTAAGAGGGACTTTAAAAATAAATAAATAAATAAAAATAAAAAAAATAAAAAGAGGGACTTTACCTAACAAATGCAATCAGTGAAACCTGGTTTCTTGTACCCTTAATGAATTCCCAACAATAAATTTTTTAAAAAGTTCAGACACATAAAAACTAAAAGTGGTCCTATCTACCTTTTCCTGCATTATTGTAGGTTCCTTTTACCACGAAGATATTTTGCTTCTTAACAAAAACCTAAACAGGACCCAGTGTATCTTATTTTATTATTTTTTTTCATGTCAGATGGGTAATGTGCCGACATCATAACCAGATTTGTAGGAGGGACATCTCACATATGCACATGAAAACCCAATCATCACACTTACGAACTACAAAAAGATCCCAGTGTATTTTTAAAAGTATCTTCAGCCAGGTACAGTGGCTCATGCCTGTAATCCTAACACCCTTGGAGGCTGAAGCAGGAGGATCGCTTGAGCCAGGAGCTTAAGACCAGCCTGAGCAAAAGCAAGACCCCTAACTCTGCTAAAAATAGAAAAATTAGCCAGCTGTTACGGTGGGTACCTGTAGTCCCAGCTACTAGGAAGGCTGAGGCAGGGGCACTGCTTGAGCCCAGGAGTTTGGGTTGCAGTGAAGTAGGCTGAGGCCAAAACACTCTAGCCCAAGTGAACTTGCCCCCACCCCAAAAAAGTGCCTTAATTATTTAACAGATAAAGAATAGAAAAGAATAAGCATGTTCTGTGCCGATGTACCACAAATTATCTCCTCAGCATCTAGGTTGTCTCCAATTATATGAACATCTGTATGTGTCTCCTGGGACTCGTGCTGACGTCTCTACGGTTGTATCTCCGGTTGCACACCACAACCAATACGTTCTATGACCAGCTGGGTTGGGAGCAGAGCTGAGAAGAAAAAACTGGACGACAGCCCACTAGAAATGTCAGGATAGTATACTACACGTAATAAGGGCAAGAATTCTTGTGACACTGTCCTTTTAGTTTCATCTATTGGCATGATATTAAAAATACTATGGAGCCACTTTTCTAGGCTAACACTCCTCTAATTACCTATGAAGGACCATTTTTTTAAATGCCCAGTATCCTGGGCTGACACTTGGTCCTTCTGCACAGGAGCAAGACACAGCTCACAGAAGAACCCCCAGAGTTCACCAGGGACGGGTACTGTGGCCACATGCTGAGGGTTATGACAATTCCAAGTCACTGCAAAAGTTTCTAAAATGTTCGTTCTCAGTTCCCTCTTCCCACTAACCTCTGGCAACAACCATTCTACGTTCTCTTTAGAGACATGACCACTGTCAGACCTTATATAAGTGGAATCATATAGTACAGTATTTACCTTTTTGTGTCTGACCTCATTTCATGATTGCTGTAACATGCAAAATGACAGTATTTCTCTTACCAATTTAAGAGTTGTTTTTAGTGTAATTACCTTAACATTAATAACAAGCTGGAAGATATTCTTCTTAGCAAAGTATCTCAAGAATGGAAGAAAAAGTATCCAATGTACTCAACCCTATTATGAAACTAATTTTTAGCTATCATAGGAAAGCTATAACCCAATTTTAGCCCAAGAATATGGGGAAAGGGGAGAGGGAGGAGGGGGGGAGGATAGGTAGAGGGATGATGATTGCTAGGATCATGCCTATGATTTATCCTATAAGGATACACGTGAATCTTTTTAAATGTGGAATATAAATGTCTTAACACAACAACTATGAGAATGACATGAAGGCTATGTTGGCCAATTGGATGAAAGTATTTCAAATTGTATATGGAAACAACACACTGTACCCTATGATAGTATTAACGTACACAACTATGATTTAATAAAAAAAAATTAAGAATAACATTACGCCTGTAATTAATTGTAAGATCTTAAAGTATTCAGTTAAGACACACAATACTTAAAACATTCCCCCCAAAGCTAAAGACAATAAGAATATTCCTTAGTTGAGAAAAAAATAGAAAAGTATGCTTAGAACTACAAAACCAAAGAATAAGGATTATCAGCACCAGAAGCCTCAAATGTAAGGGTGCTGTCCAAGAGGAAGCTGCTCCCTACGCTAACACCAAGGGAGAGACATGCTGAACCCCAGGTGGCTGAGATGTGGTTGTGAGGGCCCAGGCCAACAAGGACCAGAGAGTGCTGGGAAGGAGCTTGCTTCCCAGGCGCCCTGTAACATTGCATGACCCGTCTGCTTCCAGGCGAGGGCACAGCCAGGACAAGGACCCAGCTGGGTTATTTCTGGGCTCAGCTCAGACTAGAGGTATAGGGGAAACTTTTGAAAACAAGGCAGAATCAGCAGTCTTGCTAGCATAGTATACCAACATATGACTGATTATATTACATATATCACATAGAACAGCATTGTATGACACATGATACATATAACAGTGCTAAGTTCATTCACCTGCAAATGCAATCCTTCCTCAAAAGAGTTCTGAATGAATTAGGGCTCTAAACATGAACCCAGGGAGATTTAAAAAAAAGCAAACAGTAGGCAGTAATTAGGTAGTAAGATTGAGGCACAACTGGCTTTTAAAAAAGCTCCATTCAAATACCAGAAAGGACCCTGCAGCTGGCTCTTGTCGGATATGACTCAGGAAGCAGGGCTCACCTTCTCATTGTAGTTGATGGCGATCACATCTCCAGTGGTGAGACAGGCAAAGTTTCTCAGTGCGTTTTCTAATCTGCAGACACACACTGTCAAGGCAACATAGCAAGACGGATACCTTAAATTCGAGACAAGTTTCCAGGGTGGGTTACATAATCTTTAGTAGTAGAATTATTAGCAGACAAGGGACCACACACAGCTTTAAGACAATGAAGTGTTACGTGACAATTAAGAGGGAACAAAGCCAGACTTGCAATGACATGAGTGAGCCTTACAAATGCCATGCTGGGACAAAGGGAGGCGGAGAACCAGACATAGAGGGGACCAGATCCCCTTTCCCCTGAGAAAGATCTCTGAGGCTGCACGTCAGCTGAGAGGGTGCTGGGGCCAGGGATTAGGGACGGACTGGCAGGAAAGCACCCTCTAGGAAGACAGATTACATGGGTGTATGTGTTTGTCAAGCTGGTGAAAACTGTGCACTTTGTTTTATATAAATTATACCTTTAAAATAAAGGTAATTTTTAAAACTTTTCTGGGGCTGGGAGCAATGGTTCATGCCTGTAATCCTAGCACTCTGGGAGGCAGATGGGAGTGGACTGCTTAAACTCATGAGTTTGAGACCAGCCTGAGCAACAGCAAGAACCTGTCTCTACTAAAAATAGAAAAAAAAAAAAAAAACCCAACCCTCGCCAGGCGTTTGTAATACCAGCAACTCAGGAGGCTGAGCCAAGAAGATCTCTTGAGCCCAAGAGACTGACATTGCTGTGAGCTATGATGCCACTGCAGCACTATACCCAGGGTCTTAAAAATACATACAAACATACATACATAAATAGAAATAAAAAAATCCAAAGGGAGCACAGAAGAAAAAAAGACTGAATGAGGGCCCCTAAAATGTTCAAAGATGCTTTCTTTCATTTATACTCCTATTGTTTCCAACTTTTTTTTTTGGTAATTGAGACAAAGTCTCACTCTGTTGCCCAGGCTAGTGCCATGGCATCAGCCTAGCTCACAGTAAACTCAAACTCTTGGATTCAAGTGATCCTCCTGCTTCACTCTCCCGAGTAGCTATAGGCGCCAGCCACAACATCCATCTAATTTTTCCATTTTTAGTAGAGACAGGGTCTTACTCTTGCTCAGGCTGGTCTTGAACCCAAGGGATCTTTGCACATTGGCCTCCCAGAGTGCTAGGATTATAGGCATGAGCCACTGAGCCACTGAGCCACTGAGCCCAGCCTACTGTTTCTTTTCTTTTTTTTTTTTTTTGAGACAGAGTCTTAAGCTGTCACCCTTGGTAGAGTGTCATGGCGTCACAGCTCACAGCAAACTCAATCTCTTGGGCTTAAGCAATTCTCTTGCCTTAGTCTCCCAAGTAGCTGGGACTTCAGGTGCTCACCTCAACGCCCAGCTATTTTTTGGTTGTAGTTGTCATTATTGTTTGGCAGGCCCGGGCTGGATTCAAACCTGCCAGCTCTGGTGTACGTGGCTGGCACCCACATATGCCAGAGCCAGCCTGTTGTTTCTATCTTCTAAACTGATAACCAAATTGTAGGGGTATATTTTAAAATAAAAATGAAAAAGGAAGAAGTAACCAGCAAGCCCTTTTTATAAAAGTACAAACTTTTATTTTTATTTTTATTATTGTTATTATTATTATTTTTTGAGACAGAGCCTCAAGCTGTCCCCCTGGGTAGAGTGCTGTGGCATCACAGCTCACAGCAACCTCCAACTCCTGGGCTCAAG